CCCTCAGTCAGGGACTCCGAAGTCCAGACCTCAGGAGCCCAAACGGTGGAATCATGAGGATACGAGTCAGTTCCCAAGGAGGGTACTACTGGTCACTAGCCCAACATTGCAGATCACGAGGGGGTGAAGGCAGCTAGGAGCCTCTGGAAGCTCTGTTTGGGCTGATGTCTGGACTCAGAGCATGCAGGGGAACCACTGGTATCCCTTTATGCTAGTCTGAGGAATAGGAGTTATCCAACTATTGGCGGAGCCAGAGGTACTGTGTGCATCTTGCAACCACCCAAACTGTTAGAGTAATCAGCAAATAGTGCACTGACAGCATCCAAGTGCCCACAGCACGACTGGTGCTTGGGACTGGCAAATGATGTACTAATGATTTAGGGATGTCCCTCGATACTATCTGGTCTGAAAGGATCAGCGACTTGGGATCAGTGTAAAATTGCCAGGTCCTCGGGAAGAGCATATTAAGGCCTAATACAGTGGGTCTCAAACTGGGGGTCAGGACCCCTCAGGAGGTCGCGAGGTTATTACATGGGTGATCACAAGCTGCCAAGCTCCACCCCAAACCCCGCTTCACCTCCAGCATTTATAATAATGCTAAATATTAAAAAAGTGGTTTTAATTTACCGGGGGGGCGGGCGCACTCAGGCTTGCTGTGTGAAAGGAGTCACCAATACAAGAGTTTGAGAACCACTGGCCTAACAGAAGGAGAGCTGGAGAGAGTCTTGGGTACAGGTGGATCCACTGGTGCAAGTTTTGGCACAGCAATTTTCTTATGGTGTGTTCTGAGGATGAACACTCCCTCTATCCATGTGTGGTGCAGGGGTCAGTCCTGTCCTTTCATAGAGTTTTGGAGCAGTAGCACTTCCCAATAGCAGTGGTGCTGTTCCCCATGAGCTCTTGGTGCACCCAGCCCTGGGCACAGCATCTCACTTGGGGCCAAGAGGGAGAGGATTCTGATCTAGAGCACGCTGGTACCAGAATGGCACTACCCAGAGGCTCAGGTTGACAAGATGGGGAGGAGGATCCAGGATCACATTGGGACCTCATGGAGCGTTCCTTTAATTGTGTACGAGCCTCAACTGAGAATGCCTAGTATGAGGGGGAAGTAATGGCAGTCACACTTTGAAGGAAGGTGCAATCCCCTGATGCAGCACAGGCAGCTCTCGAGTGGGTCACTAACTGGGAAGACCTGGAAAAAAAGCCACGCAGGGCCGGAAGCCTGGAATCTTTGCTATCCTTAATGCCTGGAAAAGTAGGCACTGGGGGACCGCCCTGAACTATTCAACTAGGCTTACTAAGCTAAATATCTAAGATAAGCTACTTACAAAGATTATTTACAGAGCCAGTTCAAGTGGGAATACTGAGAAGGCAGCAGTCACAGAAGGGTTCAGTCACAGACTCAAAGTGGTAGAAAGGAACTAGAGAGGAGGTCAATCCATGCCGCCCCTCATGCCCTCAATTCAGAGCATGGAAGGTATAGTGGCAGTGACCAACAGACACTGCATTGAAGAATCTTCTGGTCTCAGATGACCAGAACTCATGTGAACCCACAGCAAATGCCCATAGGGACCAGCACTTGAAGAATCACAAGGACCACTTGCTGTCAAGGGAGATTTTGCTATACATTTAAAAGCTGACTGACACTGCCTGGTGCTGTACAAGACAACAGCCTGTCACAACCCTTTGTGTGAAGTTTCTCTACCTCCAACAATGCATCTTGCCTGAAATCAAAGCACAGAAGCTCTCACTCCCTCTGTGATGAAGTGGGAATTTTCTGTAATATTTTTATGAATGATATGTATGGCAGGTGATTTGACTACGGATTGCTACCTAGTGAGAGTAGAAGGGTTAAAATGCTGCTCCTGGAGTAAAGCAGGAGATAAGTGGTCTTTAGGTCATGTGACTCTAGAGGTATAAATGGGTTAAGGACTGGCTGAAAACGCCCATTATAGTGGAGAATCTAGAAAGACCAGGGAGCCCCAAGAACTGGACAACTGATACCTAACAGCAGGAAACTGTGGCAGGCAGAACATATAAATTGAGCAGGGGTCCTGCAAGAGGACCAAGACAATGGATCGAGAGCTGACCAGAGGCTAGGAGAAGCAACAGCTTTTTGAGAGACACACGGATCTCACCCAGGACTGTCAAAGAGGCCAAGAGGGGGAGAGAGCCAAAATGGATTCTTCATTAGCTTGGCTGGGTACAACCCTGATGTTGGCCAGTCAATTGTCTTCACCTTTACTTTTGTATGCTATCTTGAGGACGTTCCCAATGCTGTGTTCCAGTTGACTAATAAACCCTACTGTTTTGTAAAGGCTGCCTGGTATCACTGCAAATACTTGCTGAGGTGCACTAATCCCTGAAGAAGGCAAAGAAGTCTAGGAACAGAAGTCTTATTTGGACTTGCTGGACAGAGCTCATGGAGTGAAACAGGAGTGCTGGAGCCCAGACACTCTGTCTCGAGATGCTGAAGCCATCTGGCTTACCTTTAAGAATGGGACCCCATGGGGATCTGGCACACTGAAAGGGTTCCTCCAAAGGACTGTTTAAAACCTACCTCCACAGAGCCACTTCAAGCCAATTTATGATGAAGCAAAATGTTGTTTGCAATGGGCTGACAAAAAATTCCTTTGAACTACAAATGCCAGGCCAAAAGGGGTATTCACTCTGTTTTAGTTAGAGAACTAAAGCAACAAATTTTTGCAAATGCTTTCCTGGTTTAGTTTGAACACCCTAAAAGAGGATTGCGCAGTCCTCCTTGGCCTGGCAACAGGGTTTCTACACATACTGCTGAAATGGAAACAAAAAAATCTGTCAAATGATTTACAGGATCAGGCATCTTAGATCAACATTTGATCTACATTCAGACTGCATTTTGGTGACAGTGTGATCCTAAGATGTCGTCACTGTTCATTTGAAGAGAACAAAATAAAAATCCATTATAGTACTGTAAGTAAAGAAGAGACAACAACAGGTCAAACAGTACACTAGCTATAAATTTGCTATCCAGTCCTGGATGCATCATCAACAAGACAGTGCTATAATGAGACCCCTATTCAGTTTCATGAGCTGCTAGGACTAGAAATTTGCAATGGTAGATATGCACTAAGCTTTTCTAGTTACACTGAGTGTTTTATCATCAATGCCATCAGTTGATGAGATCTCAGCTGCTAAAGCTGTGTTAGAACAGAAATGGAAGAATACAAGGCGGTAGTCTAAATTAGTATATTTTAACAGATTATTCTGATAGGTAGAAGCCTCCATCCATTGCTTTGAGTGCTTAAACCATATCAAGACAATTACATATAACTGACTAATGCCTCAGTCACCCACTGCAACAATAGGTGGGATCTACACTCTATGCCCCTCAGCCCTCGCAGATGAATTGGGGAGTTCCACAGTCAAGCAGCTGTGCCAGCAGTTCCCTCAAATTAAACCAGGGGCTCAAGCACCTCTGGTCTTAAATGCTGAGCTACTGCATGGAGCAGTGGTCTGAGATTACCAGGCCCCTATATGCAACAATTTAGAAATTCTCACGCACCTCCCCCATAACTACCACTTACAAACCAACAGGCAGCTCTGGTTTTGAATGTTCTCAACATGAAGCTCTGATCATTAAGAAGGCAGTTATATCTGGTACTACTTTAGGCTTCCAGGTCTCAAGAAATAGCCTCAAGGAAAGTGCATTACAGTAAATTAGTCTATCAGGATGGCAGAGATATGGGGTAACTATAGCAGAAGTTCACACCCGAGAAGTGATTACACAGTTCATCCTTGCCAGGCAGACAGGTTACTGCTTGAACATCTTTGCAGCTAAATAAGAATCTTCAGTTGTGAAGCTATGCTATCAATAGGAGAAATCCTCTCTCAGCAGAGGCGCAACATGAACTGGTGTGGCTTGTTGCTCCCCCTCCAGCTACCATCATTCTTCTCTATGGCAAGAGCCTCAGCCAAGTGACTCTCATCCTGGTCTTCAATCTATATCATTGCACCCAAGAGGTCAAATGTGATGGAGAGCTGGGTGTCAGCGTTACTAACCCTTTCATATTCCCTGCAATCCTCAAAATTTTGCCTTGAGCCCATTACCATGCAATGGAGTCAGTCTATTACAACATGACCCCTCTCAGCCATAGAAAAAGGGGAAGGGATTGCCCTTAACCAAGATGTAAACCGATTTCTTCCGGAGCCCTAATTTTACCCCTCAAAACAGCTATACCTTGAACTTCCATGATGCTTCAACCCTCATATCTACCCAAAATGGTTCATATACTTGAGTGCTGGTGGTGAGTATGGTAAGTTTTCTGGATAATGATCTACTAAACAATTTGTTAAGGGCTGGCAGTTCATAAATTGTTTAAAACAAAAATTGTATTATCTTTACATTAGTTTAGCCAATGGAGGAAAGTCACAGGGGAAGCTTTAAAGTAATGTGTTAGAAGACTTGACAATAGCCTCTAGAAAAGCCAATAAATCAAGCAGTTTAATTGTACAGAATGATCTCTCAATTTTATACTTGCTAACGGAACAATTAAGTGAATGGAACAGATGGTCTGAAGCATATATACACATATACAAAGACAAATTTGTCTATTTTGCCAGGAACTTTAATTTTCAGTACCAAGGGCTAATCTCCCATTGCTTTTGGATTCTATTTTAAAGGTAACAGGCCCATGCGCTCCAAGTACAGGAAAGGTGAAGGCAATCAGGAAGTTTTGGTTCTATGAAGTATGATACAAAGACACCAGAAGATGCATCTCAACGGTCTGTAAAGACTGAAGGCTAACAACTCCTCTACTATTTTAAGGCAAACTTAGTTCCGCTTCAGCTAACCATATTGTCACACCAAATCATACAAAGATTTCTTGTCCCTGGGATCCTCTACCCCCACATTCATGATTCCAGGTAACTCCAATAGACAAGTACTCAGTTTATGGCAATGCAATTAATTAGGAAGTCAATGCTAATGAGTGGAGTTCAATGAAGTTGCACCATCTTACCCGCAGTGCAGTAGCAAAACTGTTCTTCAAGTTGGTAGCAATGCTCATCATCAGAGGTTCCCTGCAGGTAATCATGGCCATACCAGCAGTCAGGTTCCGCATCATGTGGTGTGCCGCTACACGCATGCGTGACTCCTCTGAATCCAGTGCAAAGTCCTTTCTGACTATCTGTTCACAGGTAGTCATGGCAATCTTAATGGACCGGTCTACCACTGGATGGACAAGCTCCTGCACTGCACGCTCTATAGCTTGACGCACACACTGCTTTAGCTGTGGGTGGGCCTGGAACAGTGGAATCTACAGGGGAAAATTAAAACAACTTTAAGTGATTAGGCAACAGAAGGGTCAAACCAAAGTCAAAGAACAAGTACTCCTACATCTATTTTAAAAATAGTAAAATCGCAGTTCTGTTTAAAAAAAATCAAATGTGGATTGCCAAGAAACATTAGCAGCTTTAACTGTGAATTACAGCTTTTCGCTCACAGGACACTCCTCAGCCAGCCAACAGATACTTGTTTGACAGCACTGGCAGCAGAGTGCTTTTGGCTACAAGAGAACAGAAGTAATCCTTTCAAAAAGAACTAGCGAAAAAATCTGGAAATGAACAGAAAGCCAATTAAAAAGGGTAAGAGGCAAAAACTGGGAGGTATATAGGAGATAGGGCAGCAAAACTACAAAAGCTGCAGTTTTACCTTGCAAAAGGGCATCCCTTGAAGGAATTTAAAATAAAGTTGGAATCTTAAAACAAGATGTTACAAAAAAAACTTCCTCCTTGGAATTGAGAGAAGTGAAACAACCAAAATTTACTGTAGGCTAACTGAAAAAAGTTCAGGTGTCCACTCCTCATTCATGACATCACCAGTTAGTTTAAAATACTAAACCTCTCAAGCGGAGCTTCACATACAGATGAAAATTATATGAAATTGAGTATTCAATACCAGCATTCTAAATTCTCGTCTAGTGCACACAGATAGGTACAGGGAAAGCATCTATTCAAGACTTAGCATTGAGGTACTCCTACAGACAATTGTTTAGGTAACTATTTAGTTCACCAAATGCCACAGAAATTTGGTGGACAACAGAAAAGGATCACTTCTAACTCAACACAGAACATTTTAGTTTTGACCCATGCCACAGAGGTTTGGCTGAAGACATGGATTCTGCACATCAGTGAAAGTTAGCATCCTGATGGAGTAAATTCTATGCTCACGGACCCCAACATGTTCATTCTTGACTAGAAGCAGGGTGCAGTTCGAGTCAGCTAAGCAGCCTCAGCTGATCTCAGTTGTCATAACAGTAGTAACGCGGTTTTTATGCAATCAATCCATCCTAAACTATACTGACTTTCTACATTAAAGGAACTCAAACTGTACCTAAAAAAATTTAGCCACACCTGTGCTTTGTGTACTTCTGTAAATTGTGTTTACTCCAATCGACTGCATTCTACTGAGGCAGAAGTTTTGAAAGGATCTTTAAGGATGGGATAAAATATAGCCTATTGCAATAGTCGTTCCTGGTGGTGGATAAAAATGTCATCTCTCCTACATTAGCAAGGTTAGACTATAACTACTAGCGAACAACAGAAAAGCATTCTTAGTTACTGCTGCTACCTGGAACTGAAGAGCAACCAGGCATTCAGAAGTAAAAGACTGAATCTCTTTACCACAGATTAGACTTACTCCAGTAGACGCGGAGGTGCCAACTGCACTTCCCTTACTACAAAATCAATTTCAAATTTGGTTCAAGTCACAAGGTACAGATGGGTGGGTCTCATTCTGGTTTCTAGTAGATGCTAGCCTAAAAAGCGTAGCCTGATTTGGGTGTACTGATCATATTAATTTGAATATGATAATTTAGTTTATTACTTTAATTTTATTTGATTTAACAATATTAATAAGTATTAATATTAATCAGTATGGGTTTTAAGCTCACCAATCTGTTTGATCAGAAGATAAAAATTCTTGTCCTGAATCAGTCTCCACAGAATTTATAAAGGACCCGCGGGGGTATGACAGGAAGCTCACATTGAGAGATATAGCCTTAAAGACTTATTAAAATTAATAGTAAGTAAATGGTAAGATACCCAGAGTTACAAAGTTACAATTGCATTACTGCTATTCAAAAGATACAGATGATAATTTAGTATTATATGCAACAAAGCTTTGGTTAACATACGACACCCTTCCTTGGTACCTGGTGGCAAGAGACACAGGAACAGCCTTGTGGTTCAGGTTTCTCAATTCTTGAGTAAGGGATGCAGTGCTTAGAAAATGCTAAGAGCGATCAAAACTGACTAGGGTTTACTTGACTAACTTAAACCAAAACCTAACAAACAAAGAATAAAACTTAGGGAAACCAAGCTTAAACTTTAAGTTTCAAAGGAACTAAGCTAAGAAGAACAAGTATAGCCTACTAATAGTAGCAGTCATCGTAGATAGATAGAGTGGAGGAAGTAAGTGAGAACTGGAGATGGAGCAAAGTGAGAACTGGAGTACTCTATTGAGCTGGGTTACCTCTTATAGGGCAAATGCTGGAAATCCTTCCTCTTAGGCACAAATTTCATTCCTCACCCACAGAAATGTCAGGGTACACTTACCCCATAGGCTAGTATGTATGTGCGTATTATGACGGGTATGTACGCACATCAGTCTCTTTGGCGTACTTGTGAAGTCTGTGGGTACAACATTGAAAACCCCCCTATGCCATTCTCCATTGTCTATTGGTCTAGATAATGGGTCAGACATAGGCGTGGGTACTCATCTATTTAGATAACAAGCTATAGGTCAACTTTGCTTTCTGAGTAAAAGGTCTTAATATAGATATGCTAACTTTGCTTTAGCTTAACATACAGGATATGGCCTGTAGGTCTCTTGCATTACAGCCAAACTAGATTTATATTTAAAGTAATACACCTATTACAATAAACGAAAAAATTTTACACACACACACACACACACACACACACACACACACACACACTACGTACGTTAAGTCCTGTAGGCTACAAAAGTTTCAAGGCAATTTGACACCACTCATAGGAGTAGCTTAGTGCAGAAACAACAGTTCTGGCAGGACATATGAGGACTGACATACTTGTGTGAAAGAGCAGACCACCTGTATACATTGTTGACTGGAGTTAAGCACATTAACTAGTTCCTCAATGTCAGAAGAGTGCTTTTCGGTGAAAGTGAGAGCCCCTGCAGGCCATTGTCTATTCTGGGACTACAAAAACTTTCTGTAACAAACCACAATGAGCTCTAGTACTTACAGTCGGATTTAGAGTAATGTGTGGAGCCAGCCCTCCCAGAGAGTAGACGTTGATGTCATGGTAACTGTACTGAGGTTGTGGAGGAACGGATGCTGTACAAGTGGTGTTAGTAGCTGGGGTTGTAGAAGCAGCTGTAGAACATAGAAGTTGTAAGAATTCTTTAGAGTTGCTTCTTTACTCAAAACTAATTCACTGAGAAACTAAAATTCTATGTTTGCCTCATACACTTGGCGAGTACATCATTTGAAAATTTTTTACCATTTAATTGCAAAGCTTCTGAAAAAGCAGGGTGATAAGCCAGTAACAGCTTACACCATCTCTCCACCTTAGTTTGTAGAAAGACAGCATTATTTATTGTCATGCCACAATTATAGCAATCCTTGGCTGCCTTTCTGCAAGTGCATCTTGCCACTCTCCCCAGCATTCAGTATTTACAGGTTTTCCATGTAAGAACAGTCCACGGCATCATTTCCACTCATTTCTTTAGACTAAATTACTTACCTTTTTCAATAGTTTAGGCTTCTTACTTCATTGATGTCCCAGTCTGTGTTCAAGCACTGAGACTTTGTAATTGTACACTTTTCATTCAAGCCCCACTACATCAGATTCTTTTGTGAGATAAAGTAAGTAGTCCTGTGTAGCTTATGCTATTACACATACGAAGAGTTTAACAACAATCCTGCAGCTCAATAAGTAATCCTCACTATCCTGCTTTTTAGTTTAAAGCCACTGTGTGTACAGACACTGAGTATGCGGACAGTTTTGGTACATCCTTCGCTGGGGACTGCACCTTGACATGTGAATGACCCAAGCGCTCTACCAGTGGGAGTTTTACCTCCTGGTAGGGCCATCCAAGTCAGATAGGTCAAAGGATAGGGACCAGATGAAAAGCCGTCCACTGGTCCTCCAGATTGGGGGAATAGGCTAAACAACATATCCTTGTACAAAAATTGAGTGCGCCATTCTTATAAGTTAATGGAGATATCCTATCTCCTAGAACTGGAAGGGACCTTGAAAGGTCATTGAGTCCAGCCCCCTGCCTTCACTAGCAGGACCAAGTACTGATTTCTGCCCCAGATCCCTAAGTGGCCCCCTCAAGGATTGAACTCAACCCTGGGTTAAGCAGGCCAATGCTCAAACCACTGAGCTATCCTTCCCCCCCGGCAAACAGCATGACAAATACGGGAGCCTTATTTGTCCTCTAAGTGATATCTGACAATGCAGGAAGGATTCCGTTTTTGGTACATGCAAACATGTCTAGAAGCTTTCTAATCAATTCCTTCTCCAAATTCTGGGCTCTCGCCAAATATAAACTCTCACTAAAAACTGCTATAAGTAATTTAGCAAGCCTCACTTTAACTTCAAAAGCAGCAGATTGTATTTTTGCAATACAGCTGAAACTTCAACTACTTACTGGTTGTTGTGATTGGTGGTAGCTCCTCCGGCTGTTTTACATCCTTCTTTGGAGCAGACAGCTGTTCGTCCAAATTTTTCAACCGATCCTTGTCTTTCAGGAGGTTTCCAGGTTTCAGCTCATTGATGTCTAGTGCAAGGTTCTTGCAGAGCACCTCAATCTCAAATTTCAGATTTAGCTGCACAAAATTCCAGTATGATCATTTTAGGTTACACTAATAAGGAACCCCTCTGTTTCCCATTCTAAACTCTCATATCTTAAGACTCTAGGCATTAGACCAATATTCTGTAAGGGGACTGTCTAGAAGCACCGAAGTTAGCAGCATGACTAAATGAGGCATCTAAATTCAGCAATTCTTTAAAAATGGAGTTGAGGACTGAAGTTTGGAAGTCCAACAGTATTCCTGCATTACATTTTGCTAAGCTGATCAATCAAGAAAATCCATTAATGTTCAGTAAGTGTAGAAAAAAAAGTTAAAAGCAACTTACTTTTAAGTCATGTTCTTGATGCAGCTCAGCTAAAACGTTCATGATTGCCATCGTCCAGGGGTTTGGAGGCCTGAAAACCTACCAGAGAATTGGAGAGAAGTGTGTCAGACAAAGCAATTCCTTCCCAAAAGGTGTAAATTAAAACTCAGCACAAGTGTACTTTAAAACCATAAAACACATAAATGCAAATTGCTGTTAGTATGGCTGTGAAAGAGTGATGACATTTTTCAATAATGGTGTTTATGTAGAGTACAGCAATATCCTACCCCAGCAGTATGGTTTTTTTTTGGGGGGGGGGGGGGGTGAGAACCTCAGGTTAGCATTAAAGAAAATTTAATGAGAAGTTAATTCCAAACTGGAACATTAGAAGGAGCCAGTTCATTGGGGTTTTCATTTGCCAGATCAACAGTGCCATTGCAGAAGTAGAACTGGGGAAACAGAAAAGCTGATCCAGGAAGGAGAAAGGGACACAAAGCTAATGAGATTTAGAAGAAAACTGGGCTCTGGGACTTCCCCATTTGTGGGCAAACCGAGGAACAATGTACAGCTGTTTAAGCACATATTCCAACCAAACCATTCTTCCAGAACAAAAAAGTGCAACATCTACAAGATCTCTTTTCCCTTTTCCCCAGGTCACAATCTCTTTACACACCTTGTTTCCATGCATTTCCTTCCCAATCACCTGACAAGATATTTAGTTTTGAATGAATAGTTTAAAAAAATCCAGTTAGTTTACATTTGTTACATTACAATATTTATTTGCTAGTTAGTTTGGAGAGCCACTTCAATAGTTACGTCTCAGTTAGCAGATTTGAGTTCACTTACCACACTTCTGACACTGGATTCTAAGACTTTGGCAACAAATGGTACTACATAAAGCAACTCCTGTTGCCCCTTAACATAAGCCTCCAGAAGTAACGATTTCACATCCAAATCCTAAAACACAAAAATGTGTCAATTAAACTTGGGTGTGGGGCGAGATACACACTCCTATTTCTTGTAGGGCTACAGTTTCAGGATAGCATTGACATTTGCTGAATCAAAACAGCCTTAGAATTTTATGGAGCTGCTACTTTTTCTGGGACGTAATTACTTTGCACACAAAATTGTAAACATTTCAAAATGTACCTAATATGTGGATTTATGGGGACGAAGTTACTTAAATCTCGCAAAAGTATGGATTTTGGAACCTTTGATAAATAAGGTATTAAAACGTTAAGACTTTTAAACCACAGAATCAGATTGTTGTACTTCAGCAAGCTTATTGTACAAAAGGTAAGAGGTTCCAGGCTAAAGTTTAGCTGAATTTCTTGACTTCAAATCTGTCACAAGCTTAACAGGTTTTTTGGGACAGATTAAATGTGAGCTCACCGTGTGCAAGATGGGTTTATTTTTAGCCAAGGTGATCATTCCCAGCCAGTGGCCAAGGTTCTTCAGAAGGGAACGGTCAGAGAAGTTGGCTGCAGCTTTATCTGATGTCAGTAGCACCTAACGGATGATTAAAAAGGAGAACAACTTAGACAAAACTATGAGATAAACATCCAAAGCCAATTTAAGCATTTAATACACACTGACTTTAGAAAGTCTTGAGTTCTAGAACACTGAAGTATTTAGCTGCACTTTAACCATGAAGGAGACAGTCCTTTGACTTTAATACACTGAAACTATGGTTTGTCAAGTTTCTAGGAACAGTCCCCTACTAGCCTGTAAGGAGAACTACAATAAGTTCTCCTCCTTCAAGGAGCCTTAAAATGTAAACTGACAAAATCCAGAAAAGTACAACTCCATGCCAGGACTACCACACTTATGTATCTTGAAAATCAGCAATCCAGAATTCCATACAACAGCTAGAAATCCCTCCTATCTAGTGAGACGGAGTATGGGTGAGGTGATATCTATTTTTATTAGGTCAACTTCTGTTGGAGACACACAAGCTTCGAGCTTACAGAAAGCTCTTCAGGCCTGGGAAGAGTACTCGGGCCATGTCTACACTACAAGAAGCCAAGTGTGCATACAAGTGGTTTGACTGTAATGTTTCTATGCTGACATAAGTTAAGTCAATGTAATTTTGTAGTGTAGACATGGCCCGAGTACTCTTCCCAGGCCTGAAGAGCTTTCTGTAAGCTTGAAGCTTGTGCGCGTCTCCAACAGAAGTTATCTATTTTCATTAGGCTATCACCTCACCCACACCCTGTCTCACTAGATAGGAGGGATTTCTAGCTGTTGTGTCAGTGTGGGGCATTGTGGGACGGTTCCTGGAGGCCAACAACAAGTTGACATAAGCAACGCAGTATCTACATTGACACTGTGTTGACCTAATTACATCAACCGTGGGAGTGGTATTACTAAATCAGTATAGAGGGGCACTTCTGTTGGAGGAGACAAGTTTAAGCGAAGACACTTTGGCATCTAGGTCAATGCAATGCAGTTAGGTTGAGTTAAGCTGCCTAGTGTAGACCAGCCCTTAGGTGTCACCACTAAACACAAGGTGGAAAGGATTGTTTAGTGTAAGTAGCTAATGAACATTTCCAGAGACCATTCAAGGTGAAGTGGCCTGTCAACACCACCTTGAATGGTCTCTGGAAATGTTCATTAGCTTCTTATGATTAACAATTTATTTCACTTCATATTTAGCTGTGACACTGAGCACATTTCCTAGCTGTGAAGAAGCCCTGTGTAAGCCCTCGAAAGCTTGTCTCTCACCAACAGAAGTCTATCCAATAAAAAGGGTATTACTTCACCCACCTTGTGTGTCTCATATCCTGGGACCAAACAGCTACAAAAACACTGCATTCCTCCCATATAACGACATGTAAACCATCAGCAGTGAAGCATAAGTAGTTAGTTTCCCAAATAGTTCGAGTCAGTTCTGGTCTCTGAAGACCTTTTAAACATGTAGTTCTGTTCCTTAGCTTATAGTAGCATCAACCAAATGGTAGGTGGTCAGTTGTGCTCAGAAGAGTGCCAAGGAATTATTTTGCACTACAGCGTAACCTATAGTGGAGAGAAATCCCATCCACAGGTTTAAAAATAGTGCTAATTGATATATACTGGTATTCACTCCTGTTTTTCATTTTCCCCTTGCCATTTCTACAAAATTCCTTATGTTAAAATTGGGATTTAATCTTCCCATGCCTGCACTTCCACTTTCATTTTTAACTTCCTTCTAACTAGGGGTCAGCAAATGAAATTAATAGATAGCAGGTTTAAAACAAAAGGAAGTATTTCTTCAGACAACACACAGTCAAACTGTGGCACTCCTTGCTAGAGGATATTGTGAAGGCCAAGACTAACAGGGGTCAAAAAGGAACTAGATAAGTTCATGGAGGATCGGTCCGTCAATGGCTATTGGCCAGGATGGGCAGGGATAGTGTTCCTAGCCTGTTTGCCAGAAGCTGGGAATGGATCACTTGATTCCCTGTTCTGTTCACTCCCTCTGAAGCACCTGGCATTGGCCACTATCAGAAGACAGGATACTGGGCTAGATAGATCTTTGGTCTGACCCTGTATGGCCGTTCTTTTGTTCTCCCTCATACTTCTGTTGGCAAACCAGTACACAGACTATGCTTCCTTCAAGCTGCCTTTAAGTGCTCCTTCAGTATTTTCCTACTGCCTTCACCTTCCAAGTAATTCTTTCCACTTGAGAATCCTCTGAGAAAAATGGCCACTATCATTTAAAGCCCTTAAAATTAAGGCATGTGACTTGTGGATTAACAATGAAACACTTTGCAGAAGATGACATTTTTAAAAGCACGATTGCCTTGAGATTAAGTTTATCCAGCAGTATGCCAGTATACTATGTACACCTGTACTCCGATATAATGCTGTCCTCGGGAGCCAAAGAAAAGAATCTTACTGCGTTAAACCACGTTATATCAAACTTGCTTTGATCCACCGGAGTGTGCAGCCCCGCCCCCCCGGAGCACTGCTTTACCGCGTTATATCTGAATGTGTGTTATATCGGGTTGAACTATAACGGGGTAGAGGTGTATCTGCATGGCTTTGCCCATTTAATTCAGGGGGTTGTCTACACCAATTTACAAGGGTACAGTTAAACCACTGCAAGCCTCTGTGTGGATACTTACTTCTGTTTAAGACTATCAAGTTTAGCTTCAACATATACCAATCAATTTAAGCTAAATCAAAAATAAGCCTGATTTAAAACAAGAGCATCCACACAACCTTTTCACTAGTACAAGTGAGTGGATTTCTAATCACAATTTAAACCAGCCAGAACTCTTGCCATTTAGACAAGTCCTTCAATGGTGTAAACTGTAGGATCAAGAACAGACACCCCTATGGTTTTGTAGGGCACTGTACACGCATATGGTATTCCCCAAACCCCCACATTCATAGATTTTATTAGAAGCTTGCTAGATTCATCATGTCACTGCATGTCTTATTTAAAAGGATTCTGGCACTAGTGTGTTTTGTTTCACAAATCCTACATAGTGAACTAGTCCGTTCTAACAGGACAATTTCATTTCTTCAATTTATTACAATGAATGACATCTATAAGACATCTATTAACTGGTCAACATTTTCTTGGATATGCATTCAAGAAGGCTCTATCTGCAACTTTGATTCTTGGTACAAATAGATACAGTATTTCATCTGACCATTCACTACAGTCTGCAAGCACACGTATTTAAAGTCTATCCCAACTGCAAGACTGTTACTGTAAGAAGTTGAAAATTAACAAGTCACTGATAGAGGGGGGAAAAAGTGGCACCACACTGATATCAAGCCAATCAGTTTACACATTGAAGTCTTAGTTGTCAGATTCAAAACCTAGTTATCTAAACCTAAAGCGTTGTTATACTAAACAGGTTTGTAACTAACTTAATAGATAAGTAGCAGCCAAAAAATGTTGATAGATATATCCTATTTTCTGACATAAGCTCAGTTACCCCAGGTCTGCTGAACCATACTTTTTGGAATTTAGTAGTCCTGTCAAAAACTTACTCTTTAAATGAACTAATAAAATTAAGGGATTGTTCCCCTTTCTATAAAGTTATGATTTTAAAATCATGACCATTTGGACACTGTCTACCCGGTTTAATATAAAGATTAAATACAAATGTTTCAGAAAGCCTTTTTCAAATTTTGCTGGATGTATGTATGTTATCAAAACAGTTAACTAGTCTATAGAGAAACAAGTAAACAGCAGTTGAAAACACTACACCTGCCCTGGAGTCTCACAAGCTGTTGGTTTTATAGCCCCATTTTCCTTTTAAAGAAATAATCTTTCCTGTGCTACTGTTTGAAATAAAAAACTCCCCGTCCCACACACAGAAGTTACCTATACGGAATGCTGTCAAATGCAAACATTTTCCCCTCTAATCTTTCACAAGTTTTTAGTGGGGTTTTGGAGCTGTGCTCCGGCTCTGCTTCAGCTCCAGGCAAAAACCTGCAGCTCTACTGCTCTGGAGCGGCTCCGCGCTCCAGCTCTGGGCTCCGCTCCAAAGCTCTGGTAGGTATCATTTCTCCAGATGCACGTAGCACAGGTAGATACCAAACCTACTCAAGGTTTAGAAAGGACCATCTAAAGGCCAGTTACAGTACTCAAGGCACTTTTCCTACCCAAATTATGATAAAAACCTGTTTGTCTACTTGGTAAATTATGGATAATTTAGAAGTTTCACACCATATTTGGATAGCAGTGCAGTGTCTATTATTGAAAACTGCAATTAAGTGTCAGAAGAAAAAGCAACATACTACTCACCTTGATATTTCTGTAGGTTTCATTCAGAACCATCTTGTTAAACTCTGGATTCTTAAGAGTGTCAAGGAAATTTGAATATAGGCTGTGAAAATTTGGCTCAATACTGACTCTCTTCATCACAAGATATTGTGAAACCCAAGGCATGAACTCTTCTTTCACAGTTTCCTTCAGCTCCTCAACCTGGCTCCACCACAAAACAAAGTCACAGAAATTAGGATGAAAACAGATTGGGGGGTGGGGGTGGGGGGGGGGGAAATGACTTGACCAGTACTGATAAATTTTACTAAATATTTTAGTGTTTGTTTTGACTGAGTGATTCCAGAACCATTTTGGTCATTCAAGGATTACTTTAGCCAATGAATCAACTTAAATCTGTTTCAAGCACTTGAGTGCAGCAACCCCCATCTTTTGTGAAATGCTGGATATTTACTGCATTACAGATCATTAAAGAAAGAGTTTAATTTAGTATACGTTACTGAAGGACAGCCCTGGACATTGAAGGGGTCTGTTCACAGAACAGAGACCATGGGTGGCAGTCCCGGAGCAGGTTTCTACTGTTAGTGTGAACCTAAACTCTAACCTAGAAACTCTAGTGGAAGAGGAGAGCAGCTTAATCTCTGACTATACAATCCTTAGCTCTGATTATCAAACAGATACTAGTTGTGGTTGCATTTTCTGCGGTGTGAATATTTGTCTAGATCACACCAAAAACAGCCATCAAAGTATTGTCCAAACAGTGATATGACTAGTACAAAACTTCTTTATTATAGCAGCTACCTACTAGGAAGTGTTCCCCTGAAACCAGAGGGGAATAGAGTGTGACAATACACAGTTCTAGTTTAGACAAAGGATGTTGCTTTGTGAAGAGAATGAAGCAGCATCATTGAACAAGAGCAGTTAACTATTCAAAGATTACTGGATACCACATTTCTTTGATGTGAAATATAGCAACACTAACATGGTCATTACTATTTCAGCTTGGTACTCTTATCTTTGGGTGAATTGTTGAAAATAGCATACAAAGAATCTTTTAGAACGGCACACTTGAAACTTTTTTAAATGGACTAGATTTCAAGTACTAGAGCTGTCCCTGAACTAGCCATCAATTTTTTTTTAAACAAAGTGTGTTGCTGTGTGACAGACCTACCCCTGTACATCAGATGTAGCACCCAAAACTACTTTTTAAAAGACCAAAAAATTTAAGCAGTGAGATTTCAAGTACATCTCCCTAAAAGGGGGGGGGGGGAGGGAAAGAAAGAGGGAATTCAATGCAGTGCTGTAGGAATATACATCTTCTAGTCCCACAGTAGAAGGGCTACTAACTCAGACTGAGATGAGAGGAAATTAGTTAATATTCTTACAAAATATAGTTGTAGTTAAGATCTACAAGGTTTGTTTTTTCAAGAGTTTCTATTCACCTTCATCATCCATGACATTAGAACAGATTACTTCCTGCTACAAATAGGTAATAAAATGAAACAAGGTAACATTCTGCCACACTTGCCTTCTGTGTCATATTTGATTGAGACAGATTATTGAATATGAAAGCAATTTTTTCCTGAACATTTTCTGGGGGCTCCACAATTCTCTCAGTTTGATCTGTTGCCACTAGCAAGGTATCGATGTTGGTAGTATTAATGGAAGGCTGTAGGAAGATAATGACAATTAAGAAAAACATATTGCAAAGAGGGACAGTACTAAGAGGCAAAAGGTCAAAGAGGACTTTTGTTCAGTTTAATAGTAAAGTTAGCACTTTGATCTTCTATTGAGAAAGGTGACCTAAAGAGTGGAAAAAAGCAGTGTTTATGAAGTGTGAATATTCAACCCAATCCCTATTCATTAGGTCTATAGGTGCCTTTTTTAAAAAGGGAACCTGCAACATGAAAGCCATGTTGCCCACCCCCCACCCCTTAATATTTTCTAGCCAAAAAGCAAAATTAGCCAAAGACTCATTGACAAAAGGCTGGCCCGCGAAGAACAAGGTTACTTACTACCAATCAAAAAAGCTTGTAAGAGACGAAATGCTTTAAGTTACAAATATGAATATGAACAGGATCACAACTTGACAACCTAAAATATAGAACTTCTCATGACGGTTAACCCCTAGGTTCTCATTGAGAGTCAGCCGTTCCCATAATTCTGTTGATCTCCCAATAAGAGCCCCATGAAGCGATGGGGTAACTTACCGGCACATCCTTTTTGAAGCTGACTCCAGTTGGTCGGGTGATTGTAATGGTTTTTGCCACAGTGGTGGTGGTGGTGGAGGTGGTTACTATAGTGCTGACTTGGCCAGCAAGAGGAGCTTTTGCTGGGGCCTGGGCCTGGGCCTGAGCCTGGGCAAGTGCAATACTTCCAGGGGTGGTGATTGAACCCTGCATCTTCACAGGAGGATCTCTGGATTGCTGTCCATATTCAATGTACTAGAGTAAGGCAGACAAGAGACGTACTGAAATTCACACAGGTAGCAATGAAACTGCATCCTAATACTAGAGTCCTCCCAACTCTAGTTCACCACATCGAATTTAACAGAAAGTTGCAGCCTGGAAATTTTGTAGGAGAGTTTCTGGGTAATTCCAGAACCAGAATTAAATCACTCCGTATGATGTATGACATTTGTAAATTCACTTGCAAAACCTAGAGATGAACTCCCTGTTAAGAGAAGTTCTACCAGAGAAGCCTCTTTTCAGTCCCTGTTTATTTAATGGTAAAGAAGGACTGGATGGTATGGCCTTCAAAGGCATGAATGCTATCCCCAAGCTAGAGAGGCTGCTGCTGAGCGCCACAAGGCTTGACTCCCTTCCAAGTCCACAGACAGACAGCATTCCAAACACTGCTGGCCTGCAGAGTGAGAAAAATATAAGGGGAATGTGTGAACATCAAAAGGCCTGCTATGCAGAGTGGACAAGAAAGTCTTCCCCAAAGACTTCAATGACAGTATAAAGCTAGAGGAAGGCTGAACTATGCAGTGATCGATTATTGGAACTGGCTTTTTCCTTGGTCTTAAATTTCTGCACCTACAGAAGTAATTCTACAATGGTTAACATTTTCTTTCCATAGTGGTGCATTTGCCTAGATCAGTGGTTCTCAAACTGGGGGTCACAACCTGTCAGTCTCCACCCCAAATCCCACTTTGCCTCCAGCATGATAGTGTTAAATATTTTTAAAGTGTTATTAATTTATAAGTGGGTCACACTCAGAGGCTTGCTGTGTGAAAGGGGTCACCGATACAAGTGTTTGAGAACCATGGGCCTAGATATTTACAATGCATGGGTCAGAAAGTACACAGATGCCAGATACATCACTTAAACCAATAATCAAATAGTTGAGACAGCTACAAGATTTTGCTTTATTTGTGGAGTAAAGGTATTGTCTACTTGATGTCATGACAGACCTTTATTTTTACTGAGCTGCAACTAAACATTCAAGAGTGTGGCCTTAGGATAACCTTCTGTGCATGCCTCCCCCCACCCCAACAGAAGGATCATTGAGACAAACCCATAATCAACATTGCTTTTACTGTTTGGACTACAGTGCATTCCCATTATTTTGATCAGACCTTCAGGAACCTAGTTCTTTTGTCCCTTGTTTGAATTACTTTTAGCAGGTCTGAACACATAATTTGATTAACCACAGAAGAGGGGCATTTATTCAACAGGGAAGCCCAAAATTCTGAAGGAGACAGGAATATAAACCCAGAGAAGATTCATGGCAAGGATTAGATCTTAGACATTAATACATGACAGCACTTTTTAAGTGGCAATATGTCCTGGATGGCCACATGGCTACACAGGTTAGGCACTTCTTTCCAAACAAGCAAGCCAAATAAACTTACAGAAAAATGGAAGGCACTGGTCCCTACCCCTACTGCCATTCCCCCAAACCCAAGGAAAATGCATTCAAGTCTAGAATTTGCTCACACAAAACATTAAAAATTGTTTGTATTTTGTTTTTATGGACTTGTACTGTCATACAAAACTTATGAACGTTTAGGCCATTTTTAATGCAAATAGAAATCAACTCAATCGATTGTTTCTCAAATTAATGAATTAGTTCTATCATTTTTAAACACTCACCTCCTGTAGGTGATGAGGGAACTGTATAAAGTGACTAATAGAAGCCAAGTGCTGACAATACTGGGGATAGTCCTTCAATCTGTCAACAGTAAAACTATCCATTAGTCAGAGAGAAAGCAAGAGCCCTGATCAAGAACATACCACAGAGCAATATAAACTGGTTACTGGCTATGTTGCTCCCTTAACACATCAAAGTTGCTTCTAAACTTTCCAGCTGTGCTACACAAATGATTTTTGTAAGAGGATTTGTTGCAAAATAATTTGAGAGCAGTTACCCTTGCATTGCACTGCTATTAAGTCCTATTAACCCATCTATTCCCAAATATTTAACACCTAGACAGTTTACTATTTAGCAAGGCAACAACCTTACTAGATGCTAAATTTTGTGTTTGCAGCAATGGCAGCTTGATTATACTTCTAGTTTAATGTTTAGAACTACCCCTATACCTGACAATGAAGCCTCTCCCTGTATGTACAGTGGTTTTATTCTGTGCATTTGCGAATGCAAGGTAGAGCACTACTAAAATTGATGAAAACTAAGTTTTAAAATCCCATGTATAATAGTATGTGCATTTTACCAAGAGAGAAGTAACAGAGGCTGCTGAAGGATTGGGTACGTCAGTCTTGACAGTGCCATTTTATTCTGCTAGGCTATAGAATATTAAATAGCTGTAACAAGACATCCAGCCATATAAAATAAACAGCTGTTTGTATCTTAAATGTAGCCTGAAATATTCCAAGGCTGGATAAGATGATGAAGAAATTGAATAAGGGCAGAAGCATCTCAGCTAGAATCATGTTTTCAGAGCATACATTTAAAGGTGCTAAATCGGCACCTTTTAATTAAGGAAGTCTTCTTAAACACAAGGAAGACTTTTCCCTTGTGTCTCCAGTGATACTTCTAATAGAGCCAGACTATCTGAACAGTTTCCCCATTTGCAAATAGCCTATATTCCTTGCCTCAAATATCTGAGAAAGTCTCCAAGTGTCTGAGGAAATGGTCTCACTGGCAATATTTCATAGGCATTTTGTGGAAAGAGGAAAATTAAGCATCTGCTAGCTGAAACGTATGCAAATAGTGAAGTTTGGAGATTCTCTCTGTATTACTACAGGGGTATTTCTTGTAACCCTACAGATAGCCAGTTAAGAACTTTCCACAACATGGCTCATCCGAGAAGATTTAACACTTTAGTGAGGGACTTAAATTTGTGTTCTATAGCAGCACTTAGTGTCTGACCAATCTCACATTTAAGAAGTAACTTAAGTTACTCTTGAATAAGGATGCACATGTAGAAAATTCTTAACCAGGGGATCAAGCTTTACCAGTTTAGTCTCTAAAGTACTGAAATACCATTAAGTCAAGCCTTAACACTTGACTGAATTAGATTTAATAAAATATGGTCAGTTGAATTTTAGACAGAGATGTTTGAATGTAGTTTCAACCCATGTTGACTATATTTAACACAAAAACTGATTATCTTAGGTGGGTTTTATATGTGAGCTTGGAATTGGTGAATTATGTTCAAGTTGTGAGATGTGCAAGTATGATGACATACCATTAATCCTGTATTGCTACTACTAAGCATATGACTAGAGCAGACATAAGTTTAATAAGATATCCCATGCATTATTATTTTTTTTTAAAAGATTACAAAAATCACTCACCTATTTTTAAATCTATCTAGTGCAGCAATACCAAAATAGTACATTTTGGATGCAAAAGGCTTTCGTAAGGCTTCAAGAACATAGCGCAGGGCCAGGCCCAATGCCATGTAAGTAACCAGTCCTTTCTCTATTATCCCACCAAAGAGGCAGGCTGTTATGTGCAGCTCTTTGTCTGGGTATTGGGGGAAAAAACGGTACTCCTCAAACAAGTTCCTCAGCATACAGTTAAACACTTCTCGTTCCCGCTTAATGTTGGAGTCCTTAAACCTCTGTAGCATTTCTAATACCTGCAAAGAAATAGAAACTGTTACCAAGAGACTGATTTCATCTCAGCCCTTTCACACCAGTGGGTTCAAGAGCACCTGCAACTAGTCACTAGTGTAAATTGCACTGGGAAAACCCAATTCCCAGTGCAAAACTGCCAAACTTGAGGGCAGGAATCTATATGTAAAACTCAAACACTTTTTTATTATTTAAAGTCTTGTCAAGAGATGGCGGGACAACTTGCTTCAGTGTAGCTGTTCCACAGATTCTGTGGATGCTAGAAACTTCATCTGTTCGTACTGTAGCTGTCTTACAATTGTTCAGGTCAGTATCTTTTTTGCAAAAGCTTTTGAGTAGTTTGTCGATCTGATAGCACTGCTACATTTACAGGTCATGTGGCTTCATCTTAGCTGTACATATTCAAATTGGGCTAAGTTTATGTACATAGTATCAGCCCAAAAGTATTCATTTTTAAAGCACTGAAAAGTGCAATTATGGTCAGAAAAGGGACCATGTTTAAAAAAAAAAACACTACCTCTCACTCAGATCTGCTCTCTGCCTATCCCGGCTGATGTCTGCTTTAGGCCTTTTTTATTTTAAGAAAGACCTCTTGTTAGCACAGTGCAGCTAACAAATGAGAAAGAAAGCTAGATTTTATTTGGTTCAGAGTAAATTCTGATTGCAGAATCATCAGGATAATACACAAGTCACACCCCCCTCATTTGAATTTCATTCTAAGGTTGAGTTTGTAGGACTGGCAGTTATACAGATCTTTAGCTGTAAAACTGATGGAGTTTGATCAAAACATGGAATCCCAAGAAGTCATTTTAATTGGTATAATAGTTTTAAATCTTCCCCAGGAATCTCTAAATAGTTAAGAAAGTAACATTCAAGGCTTCACAACAGGAGTGTTTCAAGCATAAAGTAAGGAATGAGTGTGCAAGTACTTTACATACCAATTGTGCACCTGAGCAATAACTCCAATTATGCCCATCTGTGCAAATAAAATGTCAGACTGTCTTAAGTTGTAGTCTCCTATGCATGTAAACTGCTTTTAAAAAGGCAGTTTTTCTTCAAACCTATGGCCTTGGCGAAAGGAATAAATAAGCAAAATCCTATTTTACTCAGGTCAAATGGACAGTTTATCAATTTTCTTCAAATCCTCAGACATTCTAGTTTGTCAGATCAATACTTCCGACATGCTTGCTTCTGAGTTAAGACAATCCCTTGAATGTCATTTTAGCAGAGTAATTACTTTCATTCTAGTTTTCCCCCACTTCAATATACATTAAGTAACTGGAAATTCAGCATCAGGACTGTGAAGTAGTTGCTTGGGGGGAGGTTCCCAAGAATATTTGTTGTAGATTAGACCTGCTAGAGTATTGCTCATAATTTCATTTTTTCCCCCTCTATCAGATATTAAAGGCCATGTTTATATTTATAAATTTGTCAGATTTATTTGCAATGGTCTTCAAATGAGACTTTTCTTTGTACTGCTCCTAAATTTGATTCTGAAATACAGGAAGTAGAGATCATTAAACAGTGCTTTTCAATAATCCGTAAGTGTGCAAATATATTTAGAGGGACATCGTTAACTTGAAATAGTCTATTTCAACAAGCAAACTGAACTTGGCCACAGGATTATACTTGCCACTGAGTCTCCCTGATATTTGTCTCTTAAAAAAATTTATAATGAAGCGTTTTCTTCTCCCTGTTATGCGAGACACCCAAGAAAGGTGAAATTGACTAGTGACAGGAGAAGTAAACCAAACCACTACACAGTACTGTCAAGGGTATACGCTAAAACTGAAGAGAGCATTTTTCACTTGTCATTTATAGTAATTTTAGGTGTTAATTGCATAGGTTAATTCTTTTCAGATAAAAATATAATTTAAGTTGACGGTGTCCCTTTAAGCTTTGGCACCAATGTTAAATACTTGTGCTTGGATTTCACATGACTAAGTCCACCCAATTTAACATTTTCAGCAGCTAGAACTTAAAACTGCACTTAATGCACAGTACAACTGGGTGTTTTTACCCTGTGTACAGCAGACAGGTTCTTGAAAATTTGTGCACTCAATTTACTTCCTCAAACTGCAACCAAACAAAAAGCAATGTTGCTATTGCCTCAATATTTATTAAAGACATTAAGGAGAATTACTTTCAACCATAAAACAAGTCTCTAGACAAGTGATGTGATCATTGCGGAAGGAAACTCACCTCATCTACAGACATGGTGGGGTGTGGTGGATGATTATAAATGCGCTGAAAGTAGCTGTTTGCTTCATCATCTATTTCTTTACTAAAGTGCTGATTTGCCTCTGGCCACACCTGAGATAAGTCAGCTGTTGGGAAAATGGACAAAGTAACATTTGAGTTAATTCGTTAGCAAATGACTTTTTCCTTGTTCTTTTCAATTGATTTTCAGATATCTGTTCAAACATATGCAGAACCTACATAATTCTCTTGACAGGGCTGAAATGCTTTTAAGTAGTGTTTGTTCATTTAATGAGCACAAGTTTTATTTAAAACCACAGGTCTGTTAACTTAGTAAGATTTGTGTTTTGCCAACAGTGATCAATCTGAAACAAACTGAATGTTAAGCTAGTGCTCCTAGAATAGATTTCACCTCTAAAGTTTATTATATTGAGGCCTAACCCAATGTGCAAATGAACATAAAAAGAGCATGCTACACAACACTAACATGCAGACAGTCTTTCACACAAGCTCTTTCAGGTCAACCAGTGCACTTCAAGCCAAGTCACTGAATGCTCAGCCCAAACTGCAGAGAGTCAAATCAACCTCCAGCTGTACGTTCGCTGGGGACCTATTAGTTTAGCTTTTCACACATTCAGTTTTATGGACAAGCTGCCAGATAGTGGACTTACTGACATAATTATGTCTGAAAGGTTTAATATCCGATTGCACCTCTTAGTCACCAAAGCAAACGGTGTGAAATTTGACTGTATGCACAGTCAAGAGATACAGCTGTGCCGGTTAGACTCTTGGGTGGACTGGGAAGACCAAATATTCCATTCTGAGAAACAAACTAGCCTGAATTCATTTTTCTTCCCAGTTTTAGCATCCTAATTCACCACTTCCTCCCTTTATTAAATCCTCTGACTGGTAATATCCCACTCAAAGCACCTCTGGTTTATTAGTTTGCTCTACAGAATTTCATTTTTGTAACACTAATATCTCACACACATACATATATAAAACCCCTTATAAAAAGACTGGGCATATTTTGTTCATATACAGCAGAACAAAGAAGCAGAGCAACACTGTTCATGCGGGTTTAACACATTTCATTGAGTTATTTACTTTACTACAAAACTGCTTCTTTCTACTCCCTCAGGGCTACTCGGCAAGCTACTGCTAGCAGTTTTAAAGTAGCCGGTTTCATGCTGCAGAGTGAAAACCAGAGCCACATTTCTGGGATCTGCCATCTACTGGCCGCAAGCCTGCCCTGGAGGAAATGCAGGTTAACTGCAGACCACAGTCACACTTCAGTCACAGACAACACTACCACTTACAAGGTTTCATCTTACTCTGCTGGAATGTAGGCTGGTTCAGTCCAGATGTACTCAGTTTCCTTTGCACGAATGGATCGTTGTTCACTGCAGGGAGGCCAAGGGCCCCAGTCCCTATACCAGTTAGGCTACCCGTAGTAAGACCACCTACTGGGGCCAAACAAGGCATCAGTCATCTCATTGGTACTCAGCTACTTGCATGTAGTAAGAAAAAAATGCTTATTCCCACAAACTTGACCAGCTAGGTCTTGTAATAACTATCCCCATGTTATCCAATTTCATATGCAACTTTTTAGTCCACATTACGCTACTACCAGCAGTCTACTGAAGTCTGTCAAAAGGCTCAGCTTGTTCCCAATCAAAATTTCAGCCTTTTATTCAAATGCAACACTTTAATATACTTCAGATGGTCTTCAATGGGTAAAACATTCCAAGGAGGTCAGAACTGCATACCCACAATTTTTTATTTTTTAAATGGGACCTCCCTTTATTGAAGTACATTATATTGATTTGTTATGCTGCACTGAGCACTCTGGTGTGGAAGTGGGAGCAAAGGTTATGTAATTTTAATTAAATCCTAGCAAACAGAAGCATACTGCTGTTCTTGCCCAATACCTCTGACCAAGGCAACTGTAGCAGTACTTGAACAATTCCGTTACCTCAAAATGCAAACAAGCAGTACCTGGAAGTTGTGAAGAGAGTCCTCCAATGCCACTGAAAGCAGTTGTCTGATTTTGGGTGGAAAGGGGAGGAAATGCTTTTGCTGGTGACTGAGGTGTACTGAAAGCAGAACCCAAATTTGGAGGGAAGCCTTGCATACTCTGGGTATGTGGAACAGCTGAACCACCTAAACTAAGAGATGCCATCCCAGCAAGCGGGTCAATCTGAATAAAGAAATGCAGATTATAAACAGCCATATACATTTATCAGCTCTTCTTAGCAATAACTGACAGACACCACTCCAATACTTTCTTAGGGACTATTTTTAACACATAGGTGTAACTTTAGCCTATGACATCATACAGGTCACCCCAACAAGATCCTGTTTATCTACAAAATGTTAGACATTTAGCACATTTTTAGATTTAACCTAAGACTGCTACAACCCTAGAGATGTAAAATCCAAGTCTATTAAAAGCTTTTGGAGATTCAAGACCTTAGTATTACACATTTGACTTCGAACAACAAAAATTGGATTAAAAACCAATACTTAGCTATCTGATATTACAGCAACTTATAACTTTCAGTTTTAGGTCACATTAAAAGTTATTGGCTGTAGTGAAATTTCATGATCAACACTATTTATAGATCTCATTATTGTATAAGGGATCCCATTGTGTCCAATTTTAAGAGAAAACTGGAACATGATCTTTTGCATAGGCCTTCAGAGATCCCACAATATTAGCAACTATTAGAGATGCTGACTCTAGGAGAAAGAACGAGTACTTGTGACACCTTAGAGACTAAAATTTATTTGAGCATAAGCTTTTGTGGGCTAAAACCCACTTCATCGGATGCATGCAGTGGAAAATACAGTAGGAAGGTGTGTGTGCATGCACGCACATACCCATTTTCTTCATGTCCTGTGTGTGTTGCCATACCAACTATAAGGAGAGTGATCAATTAAGGTGGGCTATTATCAGCAGGAGAAAAAACAAACTTCTGTACTCACACCTTCTTGTCAACTGTTGGAAACGGGCCATCCCTATTATCACTACAAAACTTTTTTTTCCTCCTGCTG